ATTTTTAAACTTTGAAACGGGTCAAATTGACCCGGAACATAACAGGAGGGTTAAGTAAAATATGAAACCTTATGCTAGTCTTTTGGCTTCTGCTATTTTCTAAATTGTCAGCGTTAATCATTAAATTAACGATCACTCTGAATAAGATCGCTGCCGGTGGACAATGTGTCCTCAGACGCTGCAACAGGCTCTGTGAGAAACGACTCCACCGTATGCAATCGCTGACAGAGCCTCGGCATACGGCCACAATCATTCTCAGGCCACCTGTTTGTGTGTTTGTCAACTGGTAAGAGACAAACACACAAACAGGCTGTAAGTCGCTTACATCTTTTTTAAAAAAAAGATATAAGACATGTGAATGATGTTGGTAAAATCCTTATTCTTAACGTGTGCTTTTTACCTCTCTGATTGATTTGTGAAAATTAAAGGCTGTTTGTTCTGATGTTCTGCTTACTAATAAAGCTTTTTTTCCACAACCTGAGCAGTGTGTATTGTTTGGAGTCTGCATATTCTCTCTCTCTTGTGTTTCCTTGCTCTTTTCCCGCTGGGACATCTTGGATTTAATTTGTCGTCTGTTCCAGTCTAGACACCATCTGGTTGAAAGGACAGAGCCTCACATTTTCATCTCCTTTTTACTTCCTGTGCATATAACACTAAGACTTAATGATTACGTTTCTTTTAACATTTGAGCATGTTCTTATTAATTTAGTTCCAATCCTCTGCTGCAACAGTTTGTGACTAATAAACCTTTAATTTCTCAACCCCTCCATCAGTCACGTCTCTCTGGATAACAGCTGCTGTGCGGTTTTTTTGGGGGGAAGATTTGGGTCGATCAGCTCTTGCCATTGCGGCAAGTGAAAACATTTTGAAGTCTTTGAGCAACTTTGCATCATATCGAGAGGTTTTGTTCTTTGAGCCAAACAAAAGGAACAAACTGAGAGCTGATCAATAAAACTGAGGTATTGGTTATTGGTTAATGTTGTAACGTCTGGAGTAAGTTTAGGTTGTCAGCAGCAGACCAAGGAGCGATCTGAGGAAGGAGAGAATAAAGTCGGTGCAGTTTGGTGATTGGTGTATGAGGTAAACTGGTTAAACCTAAGTTTAATGAACCTAAATAAAACTTGTTTTTTTTTTTAATAATTTGAGATTCATGAAACATTTGCTGCAAGTAAATAAAAACAAACAAAAAAACAAAAACAGCCCTTCCTCCCCTGAAAACAGTGTTTTAAGTGTTCTTGTTTTTTGTTGCTTTTGGACCGAAATTGCTGTTGTTGTAAGAGACAATAGAGTTTTAAGCTTCACATGACAATTTTAGGTGAGAGTACGGTAAAGCAGTAGTAGCACCACCATGAGGGAGTTTAACCTGTTGCTATATTACAAACTTACATTACTTTAAATATGAAGGAGTTATCTTCCTGGCAAGGCCTGACATGGTGGGACAAAGGAAGGATCTGACAAATAACTAAATGAACTGAGTCAAATACTGTGAGGAGGTGATTAGTGAAATAGAAGCAGGTGGCAGATTGTTAACGGGCCACAGAGAAGAGCTGAGATTAAAATCCAATGGGAAGAAATGGTTAAGCTGAGCCAACACAGAGAAGCACTAAAAACAGAAAACTACACTATTCATAGTCAGTGTCTAATCCAACACCGACTCAAAACCCTGAACCAAAAGGTAACAGCGAAAACTATGAACGAAAACTATGAACATATTACCACAGTAAACACAATTAAAAATGACCAGAGAAGAAAGTGTCTCTGCTTAAAAACATAAGCCAAGCAGTGAAATTGACCATCTGTGTGGTAGTTAGGGAATCTCCGAGTAGTGATGCTATGATGCTAGATTTTGTTGACAAGTCCAAAACGTTTGGTGGCATTGTGACTTAGCTGAAGAGCCACAGTATCTAAGGAAGGAGATGCTGGAAGGTTTTTTTTTTTTTTTCGTATCTTTTTATGCTAATGAGTTATAAGGCAGATCTGCAGTAAGTACCTCCAAGGGATCAGTGGATTATGGAGAACACCGTCTGAGCCAGAGGCGATAACGAAAAAAGAGGCATGCATGTAAATGTTCAGATGCTCTTATCTGCGCATTCCTTCGCTGTGACATCAAATAAGTAGGCAGAAGGTTTCTCAGTCCCCTGCTCTGTTAACAATGCAAATCAGTGTCTCACTGTCAGCCTCTGTCATGGTTCAGTGGACGTCTCTTCATCATGTTGCCTTCTAGCCTGCAGGGGTTTGGACTCAGGAAACACTTCTTCACACTGAGCAAATTATCGTTCTGAGGAGAACAGAGCAGTTACGCGACAGGAAGATGGCAATCCCACACTGAAAATCAATGTTTCAAAAGATCAGTGACAAATTTTAAAGTTAGAAAAGAGAAAAAGTGAATAGAAAAGCAGCATTTATTTATTAATCTATACATCAGTTCAAATGAAACTGAAGTGCATTTAAAAATATCTTTGGATAGAAGTAAATCAATCTGAATTACAGCAAATGTAATGTGTTCAACTGGTCTGTTTAAACCAGGGGTCACCAACTCCAGTCCTCAAGGGCTACCATCCTGCAACTTTTAGATTTGCCTCTGCTCCAAAATGTCTGAATTCCCTCACCAGCATTCATTCCTCTCTGCAATAGGCTGGAAACGAGTAGTTTATTTGATCCAGGTGTGTTTGAGCAGAGACGCATCTAAAAGTTACAGGATGGTAGCCCTCGAGGACTGGAGTTGGTGACCCCTTGTCTAAACACTGCACAGCCTTTATGTAACAGATAAATATTACCAAACAAAAAACAAAAAGATATTGCCAAATGTGGACTTTACTATGACTTCAACTACAATAATTTTATATATATTTTTAAACGAGAAATAGTTTATTGTGTAGGTGAGAAAGATACATACATTTTTTTTTTTTAGAGAAAGCTGCTGTAAGGGCTAAACTGTGGGTAAATTTTGACCAAATTACAGAGTTTAGTTGGCCAGCCGACATTGACAATAGATCAGACAGTCTTCATAGGCAAAATGTCTGGGATGTGTGTCACTAGAGCTTACTCTCTCCCTTTAGTCATTGTCTCTCTAAATGGAAATTGTATCATTTTATAGTGATAAAGATGACGATGAAAGCTTACGCACTTTTTAAGTGACTAAGGTGAAAATAAGAGTGAGGTTCAGTTACGGCTGGAGAGCTGAATGAAAGAGCTACGACAACTGAACAACAAATAGACAAATTAATTTGAGTCCATCTTGAGTCTTTCCCTGAGCAGCCCAACACCTGCCAGCTTGTACCGTTGCCAGGCGGCCCTGCTGACGGCCAGCCAACAGTCTCACAGTAAATCCTGCAGCTCTGTTTACTTAACGGTCATCCCGGTGATTAGATCAGCAACATTAATCTTTTAAAGGTTGCTATTTGCATCTCCACAGTGATTATTTCCCATCAGGGTGGAGCTAAAATTAATGTCTCAACATCTGGATGACTATAACTCACGGTGGATGTAAACAGTGATTAGGTCGTAAACAGCATTCAATTCAGACCTTGGCATTAACAGTTCATGTGCACTTTCGCCATCTACTGGTCGAAAATGAAAACAGGACGACTGTATTTTCTGCTTGAATTATGTTCGTGTTATTTTCTTAATACAAACTTTCGCATACAGATGTCTGCATAAAAAGTCAAAAGTAAAAGTTGTCACCGTAAAATGGCATCGCTTAAATTTATATTTGAATGTCATTGATGTAAGTAGTGGACTCCTACTATCCTGTATGTTCCAGATGTTTGGTTGAGTTTAACTGTGAGTTCAACTGTTTCTCAGAAACTGACATGTAAAACCTCCATAATGGAAACATTTAGCTACACTAAGGTCCCAAGAAGTTGAAATTTAGAAAAGAAAATATCGAAAAATAAAATAGTAATCCCTTATGTGTCTTTTGAAGCCATAAGAACCTCGATAGCAAAGGAAAAAAAGGGAATAGCGGTTATTGCTAACAGCTGTTATGCTAGCCAAAACCAAACAACTCTCAAATCTTACTGGTACTAAAGCTCACAAATGCATCATTTTTGTTGGGTGTGATGTCATTTCCAGATTCTGTTGTAAATGGATTATGTCTTAAAGAGTCACCAGCACTTGTTCATTGTTCAGTGCCAGCTGCTGCGATCAGAACCAGACAAGTACCACACAACCCAGTTTAAGAACTACACTTCAACCAAAAATGATGCGGATGTAGAACAGAACTTTGCAATAACGATTTTCCCTTGTGGCCACATGATGGTGCTGTTGCTCACTATTTAAAACACATTTTGCTGCCATGTAAGCTACATTACATGGTTGCTGTCAGAATTTATCAAATGGCTCCGCACAGTGATTTAATGTGTGCACAAAGTTGTGCAGACATTGCACATCTCATTGAAATATGATGAAAAAGCAGAAACAACACTAAGGTAACACTAAGTCTGCAGCAGTATAAATTGGAAGTAAAATACTGTACTATTGTTCACGGACAGAACTTATTCAACTTCAGATTTTAGTGAAAATGTGTGGAAATCTGAAATTACTCTGATGCTGTTACCTGAATCATGAGGATAATTGTTAATTATCTGCACCTGAGTGTGTTTGAGCACAGCCATATTTAAAAACAGCTGAGCAAGTCTAGCAGGTAGGGTGTGATTTATTCCAATTCATTTGGCTGTGGCAACAACAACCAGGTTTTGGGGGCAAAATGGGTAATAGTTTTTTGAGATTGAACATATTTGTTGTAAATATTATGTTTCTGAGGTGATTGTAAAATGTATTGTTTTTTTTTTTCCCCAGCAAAGAAAGTGCTGATTGTGTATGCTCACCAGAGCTCTAGCTCATTCAATGCTGCAGCTAAAAATATTGCTGTGGAGGTTCTGACTGCTCAGGGCTGCACAGTGGAAGTCTCTGACCTGTATGCCATGGGTTTTAAAGCCACTGCTACAGCCGAGGATATCAAAGGTATGAATCAATGCAGGTTTCTCAAACATTGGGATTTATTAATGCCTGATGAACTTTTCATGCACAGGAGACTTGAAGGATGCTGAGAACTTCAGTTATCTTGAAGAATCCAAACTTGCATGGGAGCAGGGAAGACTTTCAGATGACATCACAAAAGAGCAGTCTAAGCTCACTGAGGCAGACTTGGTCATCTTTCAGGTAAAGCAGTTCTAACAGCAGTACATTGTGGCAAGTCGTCAGAACATACTTACTGTAGTCCCTCTTTCAGTTCCCCATGTACTGGTTCAGTGTTCCTGGCATCCTGAAGGGCTGGTTTGATCGGGTGCTCACCAATGGCTTTGCCTTTTCACAAAAGAAACCCTACGGTCTGGAAACCTTCAAGGTAAGCGTTCAATGAAGGGTTTGCAGAAATCCAAACATGCTGTGTTCAACCTGTTTCCTTCTAGGACAAGAAAGTCATGCTGTCCGTCACCACTGGGTCTCCAGAATCCATGTTCTGTACAATTGGTATTAATGGAGACATAAATGTCACACTGTGGCCACTACAGGTACTTTGTCATAAATGGGTGTGATTAAACTCTACAAAGTGGAAACCTCATAGCAATTCTTTCTCTGCAGAATGGCATCCTGCACTACTGTGGCTTCCAGCTTCTGTCCCCTGAGGTCTTCTGGGCTCCGGCTCTTGCTGCTGCTGAAGATCGTAAGAAGATGCTGGAGAGCTGGCGCACACGACTACAAGGCCTGCTGGAAGAGGAGCCCCTGTCCTTCACTCCCTTGTACTGTTTTGACAAGAAGACTTTCCAGTTGAAATATGTCGGCGAAGAGTTTGGTCTGTCTGTGGGCATCCACCGGAGCAATCCACAGTCGTCTCGGAGCCAGATGGATTGATGCTGAGCTGTTGCCATTGTATGACCAATTAAAACTGGTTTATTCTGAAGCTGTGAGGTTTTTGTGACTTGACTTCAAGTTGCACTTATTCATAGTCTAAATGTGAACCAAACCTGTTAAAATTAAAGGAATGATTAAAAAATTACTAACTTGCAGGTGATTTAATTCTGTCGGTGACTACTGAGTTTGATATGTGCTGAGATTCTCCTGGCTGTAATGTTGGGATATTCTCCTTGGGAGGGGGAAATAAAAATGGTTGTGGGTGAAATCTAAGTGATGAATGCATTTTCAATTGTACTGCAACAGAACAAACTGCTTGTGTAGGATAAGTGAATATTTAAACTTTCTCCTTCAAGCAATTTAAGGACTTGTATTCTTAGACTTCCAAGCAAAGCCAATGGATTCTCTACTAGAATTTAATGTGGCAAGGATGAGAAACATCACCACCTGTTGGGACTGGGAGAACATCAAGCCAGAACATTTCTAATTTTATTTAATGGTTTGGTTTGAGAAATGTACTTGGTGCTGAATTTTTTTTTTTTTTTTTTACCCCCCAGAGTCAATTTTCTTAAAACATAAGCATGGTGCCTCTGTTTGGATTTTTACTTTATGAATGTAAAGTTTTGTCCAGATACATCACTTTGAGATCATCCAGTATTTTCAGTTCATTGACCTTTTATCACATTTTAGACAAAGTTTCCCCTGGTTTCAGTCTGCAATTGCCATTGCCACCTTTGACTGAAAATAGGCACCAGATTCTCAACAACCATGCAAGAGTTTGTCTATCCAGACATCAGCTGACTGTCTGGATGGACAGTATTCCTCCTAGATGCTTACTTTGCCAACTGGTCTTGTTCCCCTCTCAACAAAATGTCCCGTTACACATACGACGCAATTAAAAACGTCTTGAGATTAGAGTGCACATGCAGAACATAAGGACTGTCAGAGCGTCTTGTTAGCTGCTCTGAAAGGATCTACAAATCTGGAGATAAAACATCCCACTGTTTGTTTTCCTTGGTATATCCCAGAGCTTTAAGTACTCCCAGAGGATTTTTTTTAAATTGTAAATAAAGATATATATATATATATATATATTGACACTAACATATATCTAGACTAACATCACTGAAGCAGCTGCCCCTGACAGAACTGATGTTAATGATCCTCTTGTTTCTTCCCAGCACTTATGGGTAGACATTACTGCTGTCTATGATTGTCTTCTGAGATTACTTCAGTAATTAATCATAATCTGTTTCTGACACTCACAAGAGTGTTTCTGTGTGAATGAGAATTGTGACAAAATTATTGTGATAAAAGGTCAACTACAAAGATTTAGAGCTGGTGCTTGGATTCTCTGAACTACAACTATATTATGCTATATTCTCACATTATCTACAGTTCCCAATATGGTTAACTTCAGGCGAAACACTTTTCTTTGTGAAAATAACAGTAGGTAACCTGATTCACATGCTTCTCCCCCCTGCTTTCTTCCTCTTCTTCTTTTCTATTTTGGAGGCTCACAAGCAACTTCTAGGTGTCTGCTGCCACCTACTGGATGCGAGTGTGTAGCAGCATTAACTCACAACCATTCAGTTCTGTTTGATGTGGGCTTGATGAACGCTGATTGACAACACCTGAGTCAACAAGAACCCAAATAGTTCAGTGTATAAAAGCAGTAGGAAGGCTTTTCTGTACAGTGAGCATTGTTGACTCAGGTTTTTATTTTTATTTATTATTATTTTTTTTAATTTATTTATTTTTTTTTTTTTAATTGATCATAGACAACTGAGACATTGGATCTGAAATGGGTAACAGTTTTTCTTTCTTTCTTTCTTTCGCATGTTCCCTTTTGGGTAGTTAATTTTAAAATCTGTTTAAGTTCAATTGTGTAGATTTGTTAAATATTAGAAACATTTATGATCTGATTGGTGCTAAATATATTCTTTCATGTTTTTGCAGCAAAGAAAGTGCTGATTGTATATGCTCACCAGAGCTCTGGATCATTTGATGCTGCAGCTAAAGATGCTGTTGTGGACATTCTGACTGCTCAGGGCTGCACAGTGGAAGTCTCTGACCTGTATGCCATGGCTTTTAAAGCCGCTGCTACAGCCGATGTCGTCAAAGGTATAAAATAACTTTAGGTGACGAAATATATCGTCAGTGGTTTTTGTATATAAAATTTTTTTTTTTTTTTTTTTTTTTTTGCACAGGAAACTTGAAGAGTGCTGAGAACTTCTGTTATCTTGATGAATCCAAACTTTCATGGGAGCAGGGAAATCTTTCAGATGAAATCACAAAGGAGCAATCTAAGCTAGCTGAGGCAGATTTGGTCATCTTTCAGGTATTTCTACACATCGGTGATCTATAAATGCACAATGTTGTACCAACTGTAGTCCCTCTTTCAGTTCCCCATGTATTGGTTCGGTGTTCCTGGCATCCTGAAGGGCTGGTTTGATCGGGTGCTCACCAATGGCTTTGACTTTTCACAAGACGAACCCTACTGCCTGGAAACCTTCAAGGTAAGAGTTCAATGAAGGGTTTGCAGAAATCCGACCGTGCTGTGTTCAACCCGTTTCCTTCTAGGACAAGAAAGCCATGTTGTCCTTGACGACTGGATGTCGAACAGCCATGTTCTGTATTGACGGCGACATGAGTGTCACATTGTGGCCACTACAGGTAATTTACTTAACTGGGTGTGATTAAACTATGCAAAGTAGAAACCTCATAGCTATTCTTTCTCTGCAGAATGGTGTCCTGCACTACTGTGGCTTCCAGGTTCTGGCCCCTCAGGTCTTCTGGGCTCCGGATTTTGCTTCTGAGGAAGATCGTTGGAACATGCTGGCGGGCTGGCGCACACGACTGCAAGGCCTGCTGGAGGAGGAGCCCCTGTCCTTCACTCCCTTGGACCGTTTTGATGAGAAGACTTCCCAGTTGAAGCCTGATGTCCATGAGAAACGTGCCAGCAAATAGTCTGGTCTGACAGTGGGCATCCACCTGAACAAGTCACAGCCAGATGAAGGCTGGATGCTAAGATGTTACTCTTGTCTTGAATGATCAGTGTGTGTGTAATTAAAGCTGCTTTAATCTGATTTTTTTTTTTTTTTTTTTGCTTGGCCTGAGTTTATTTTCATTTCTCTGCCCCTAAAATTGGAGGCACTGAATTAATCACTGAACACTTGGGTATTTCTAAAATATTCTAGCTCAAGATTGTCCTAGCTGTGCTATGAACAACATGAAATCTACGTTATAGCACTTGAAATTTTCTTTTTCCCTGATATTACCGTTGCTGGTTCAAAACTTTGAATACCATTAGGGCTATTATGTTTTGCAAGAGGTTCATCCCCCCTAATGAAATTGACATGAGGTTTTGTGATCCCCAAACTCCTTCATACCCCAGGTAAACTTGGAGTAAATTTCTACATGTTTCTGGCTGGAACCTGATTGGTAATGTCTTGATTCTGCTTATCTCTGACAGGTTTTTCACTCGGTGATTATTGGGAAGGCTATAAATAGACTTATATTAAAAATTAAAGCATGTAAGTTTAACACTTGAGATGCCTGTCATTTATCATAAACCTTTGAAAAAGTTTAATTTTTTATCAATTGATGTGCTTAACTGTCTTGAAAGCTCAATTTTCAAACCGTTAAATGAAATGTCATCTTTGCAAGAATAAAAAAAAATGTGCGAATGCTGCCCCGTTTTCTAACACTCATCCATTCCCAAAAGCAAACGGGTCTCAAAGTGAAACTGTTATTTACTTATTGAAAATGTTTTATTGGCTCCAGTGGTTTTTGTTTGAGGGTGATCAGAAGGGAATGTCGGTTATCTGGCTTGGACTTGAGCCTGTGACAGCCAGAGAGTATGGCCTCTATGTGTGGGTTGTGTTTTCCTCTACATCACCACAGCACTCCACTATTATATCTGATTTAGTTATGCTTAAACTCCAGGTTCCAGGTCTACTTATGGAAAGTTTTCTGATTGGAATAGGCAACTTCTTAGAAAATGTATTTAAAGAAAGTGAACACATACATAGAAGTTTAGATTAGATCTGATTCTCATGATTATTTAGAGCTGTTTATTCAGAAATGGTGTGTGTGTGGATTTTTTCTTTTTCTCAGATGGCAAAATTTGGATTTGACTGTAGAGGATTGGGGGCAGGGGGAGGTTTCGCAATGTCTATGGCTGCAAAATGTCTCAAAATATTCTGGTTGAAAACAAATGGGTCTAAACCCCCAACTGTTGGCAAAACAAATTGGAGGTTCAGAGTGCTGGTTTCATTTAAAGTAACCTGATAAAAGGCATTAACAGCAGTCTTCAGAGGACTGCCAAGGAAAACCCACTCATGAATTTCTGGGATTAGAGGTGGCATAGGGGACAGGTCCCACAACCCATGCATGGAGGCCTCCAGTTTTCAATGTGGCCGTCACGAGTTCAAGTCCTGGTCTGTTGACCTTTGCCACATCTTTTTCCCTTTCCTGCCAATCTATTGTGAACACCAGAGCCAAATATTTCTGGGAGCATCACAAGGATTTCACCTGAGTCAGTTGCTGGATCATGAGCCACTATGCACAGATGACTCCTGGACTCCAGCTCAATGATCCAGCCAGAGTTCTCTTCTTGCATGAGAGCAGTTTGTATTTTAGATGAAACTTGAGGTTCCAGGGTCTGGAGGAGAACCCACATTGCTTACAGTCCAGAGTGAAACTTTCAGTTATGAGAGCCCTGGCATTGGGTTACTGAAGTCCAGTCACTACAGCCATCTACCAGGAAGTCATACAGCAATCATAACTTATTTCCATAACAAGCTATATGGAGATTCTGATTGTATTTTCCTGTAAGACACTTCTCCTTTTCACACTGCCAAAAGTTGGTCCAATGACCATGGTGTCACAGTGCTGGATTGATCAACACAAATGGTCTGACCTGAACCCATGGAGACTCTATGAGGTTTTATGAAGAGTCACCAGACCCAACAATGTAAATGACCTGAAGGCTGCAGTCACTGCAACCTGGGCTTCCATTACATCTCAGCAATGCCACAGACATTGATGCAACAAAGCACGCAAAAGGAGACCTGACATATTAGATGTATAGAAATCCTTGTGTAAAACCATTTTTTAAATCGATATGTAAT